TCTGGATCATGTGCTGAGAAATTTAATCCGCGGCCCTGGAAAGTACACCTTCGCTAAATGAATTGGATTTATTGTGCTTTGTGTTCTTAAGCTGGTTTATGTGCTTGAATTGGATGCTATAAAAGTAATTCCAGAAGTGCTGGCTGGCTGTGATTAATACAGTCACATGACTGCTGTGCTTTCTCACAGGGCACTTGTTGCACGGTTGGCCTGTTCTGATATGAATGGAGTTACATGGTCGATGGCTGATGGCCTTGTCTGGAGCTGCGGCGGAGTATTGGGGGCAGTCACGCTTATTGATCGGTCATTCGAGGCATTTTGAATCTTAGTTTTTGAACTATTTACTAAAGAGATCAGAGTCTTAGTCCGCCTGAGACTGAACAAATCCCGCTTTAAAGGGGTTGTGAACTTGTAAATCTCAAAAAAAAAGTAATCTCAAAAGGAAAAGTCTGGATGCTCCAGGGTTGTTAACAGACATTTTTCATTTCTTTGTTCTTAAAAATAAATCTTGAGGAAAAGAAGTGGAATTAAAATATGAATGATTTTTTTAATAATGCAGACAGGAGGTTTATCCTTTCTTCTCCTCTCTTTTTCTCTTATTCTCTCTGTCTGCATCACTCTGTCTTTTTCTCTCCCTCCCTTTGTGCTTGCTCTGTGTCTCTCTCTGTCTCCTTCTGCTTCTCTGTCTCTTTCTCATCCATCTCTTCAGTCTCTTTCATCACTTCTTGCTCTTTTTCTCTCTTTCCAGCACTTCTTGGTCTCTCTCTCTGCATCAGTCTTGCTCTCTTTCCCATTTGATTTCTCTCTCAAATTTCTGCTTTCTTTGTGTGTCTCTCTCTCTCTGTCCCTCTCTGTCCCTCTCTTTCCCTCACTCTCTTTTTCTTTGCTACTCTGCCTCTTTCTTTCTTTTCTCTCGTTCTTTCTGCATCACTCTCTTTCTCGTTCTCTCTCTCCCTTTTGTGCTTTCTTTGTCTCCCTCTCTCCGCTTCTTTTCATCTTTCCATTGTTTCTTGCTCCTTCTCTCTCTCTCTCTCTCTCTCTCTCTCTCTCTCTCTCTATCTCTATCTGACCTGCATCACTCTTGCTCTCCTTGTTGTTCTCTCTCTATCCAGCTCTCTTGTTGTCTCTCTCTCTTTCCATCACTTCTTTCTCTTTCTGACCGCCATCGCTCTTGCTTTCTTTTTTGTTCTCTCTCTCTCTTTCCATCACTTCTTTGTCTTTCTCTCTGCATTACTCTCATTCTCTCTCTCTCTCTCTCTCTCTCTCTCTCTCTCTCTCTCTCTTTGTGCTTTCTTTGTCTTCCTCTCTCATTGCTTCCCTTTCATCACTCTCTCACTTTCTCTTTCTCTCTGCATTACTCTCATTCTCTCATTCTCTCTCCTCTCTCTCTCTCTCTCTCTCTCTCTCTCTCTCTCTCCCTTTTGTGCTTTCGTCTCCCTCTCTCTCTTTGCTTCTCTTTCTTTTTCATCACTTCTCTCTCTCTCTCTCTCTCTCTCTCTCTCTCTCTCTCACGCTCTCGCTCTCTCTCTCTCTCTCTTTCCATCACTTCCTTCTCTCTCGTTCTTTCTCTCTCCCTTTTGTGCTTACTTTGTCCTTCTTTTTCTCTTTCTGTTTGCCTCTCTATCTTTGTATCCATTATCTCTCTTTCCATCTCTTACTGTCTCTCTCTCTTTCTCGCTCTCTCTCTCTCTCTCTCTCTCTCCCTCTCTCTCTCTGAATTTAGATTGACCCGACTCTTATCGAGCTGTGCGTGTTCCCACTTTAATTTGAAAGATGGTTTGACTTTCAGACGAGCACGTTCTGCTGTATTCCCTCTCTCTGCTCTGTGTACAGCAGCCTTACAGCGAGAGCAGACATGACCTGGTTTCGTGAACTGCTATCCTGCTATCATCTCTGGAAAAATAAATATGAGGCGGGGAAAAAACCCTCAGAGCGTGACCTCCAGGAGGAAAAAAAGCTCTGGATGTCTAGAAATAGAAGCAAGTGTTACATATGAGGCTTTTGAGCAATCTTATGTGGATTACACTGAATCAGCAGGCTAATAAAGTCACTTTGTTTCCTCTTCAGTAATGAAACAGCGCAGTGTGAAAATGGGGCTGAAATCTGCGCTGGAGCCGCACGTTATCCTCTTACAGGCGACCCATTCTGGAACATTTCTTCATGAGCTCATGCTGTATTACGCCACTCAGTAATACCAGCACTGAGCTTGGTTTGAACTTTGTTTGATACAGATTGCGGAGGCGGATTTAGAAATAGCACAATGTAACACTCTCTCTCTTTTAACAATCTTTATGATGATGTGATGCACTTGTAGAGTGTTTGATGCAGCTCAGGGGGTGCAGTAGTTGCCATAGAAATACAATCCTGTTTCTATGGTAGTGACACTTTGCTCTGAGAGCATCGGCAGTGTGTGAAATATCTCATTGATGTTGTTATATAATATTATATTCAATGTATGTAATTTTTCATCATTATCAAGATCACCATCATGAACTGTTTTGGCACGTGTGCCTTCTCAGCTCTTTTGGGTACATGGTCGCCAGTCATGGTGACAAAATCATGCAGAGGGTTCTTTGAGTGTTCATGGTTCTATATAGAACCATTTTCTTTACTAAAGAACCCTTTAAGAGCCATTATTTTAAGTGCGTATGCCTGCACTAGTGTTAGCCAAATGACCAGTGGTGTGGTAGAAATAACAGTTAGCCAGTGAGGTGTCTAGCTAAGCTGGCTACATTTACATATATAGCATCAGGCAGACGCTCTTATCCAGAGCAACTTATGATTTTTAAAATGTTACAGAATTGGACAAATGTTAGGAGTCTAGCCCAAGGACTCTTATTGGTACAATGTTATCCACTTTGCTGTTCCACCAACAAATCTACTTAAGCGCATAGTGGGCCACTGTTGGCCTGCTGACAGCAAGGCTGGCGGCCCCCTGGCTTTTTGCTTAGCGTTTACTGGGTGGCCCATTGTTGGTTAAGCAGAATAATAGACAAAGTGGAATTTTTTTATCACTCATTTTCCACTCTGAGTCTAATTCTCATACTTTTTCCTTATTTCCTTCATGTTATACAGCTGTAACTGACCTAGCACAGTGTCAGCAATAACATTTTCAACAAAGTCAGTTTAAATTAGGCCTAATCTTCATTTTTTTAGTTGTTTGTAACATTTGCCATATTTTATTTTCCAAAATAAAGAGCTATGTGCATTTAAAATGTCTTTGAGAAAATGAAAAACTAGACTTTGTATGGAGGGGAGTGATCTGGATGGTTCGAGGGTGGGCCAGCAGTGGGGTGTAGTATGCGCGGTGCTGACCTTACCAAGCCAGCAGACCAATATGTACTCGCTATCTGGGAAGCCAAAATTTTTAACTAGAGGAAAATAAACCAAGCCTAAACAGCATTAGCATGTTAGCTAATGTTAACAAATGAAAATATGATGGCAGTTTTAAGCCGTGTCACCAGTTTATGCTGACATCATGGCTCATGACTGAGCAGTTGCAGTTTTGAGATAAGCTGCTGAAAAGATCAGTGGGCCTCATTCAGCAGTATCTTCCTAAGTTTGTTCTTAAATTCGCTCTTGAGAAAAGTCCTAAGAAACAGTCTACGTCAGGTTCATGACGTGTTCTTAAACCGCAGAACTGTTCTCACCTTTGTGCTCTTGAGTGTGTGTAGATTCTGTTCTTAACTAAGAACAAATCCCAAATAAGAAAACACTGGTGAACGTCAGAATCTTCATGAAAACTGTATAAGTGGGTTTTAAGAAGAAATTTCTTCATAAGAACGGTTGGTGAATGAGGCCCAATGTTGCACCAGTCATGAATGTTCATAGCTGAGTCAGATTTCTTTACAGCCGGTTCTTTTTGCTGATTTTTATTAGCCTTCTTTTTTGGTCTAATCCAAAGTTCACACATTGTGGGCTAAATGAACACATTCCTATCACTTTCTATTAGCCAAAGTTGCAACATAACTAGCATTATTTATTCTTTCATGGGCCAAACTGGCACTTTAACTAACTGCCTATTTGAATAACTTGAAACATTTAAGTGCGACATCAAAAATTAGAGGCAACTGGCTATTTAGGTCAAGAAGTTATGCAATATTGCACGATGATGTTTTAGTGCACGTATAGAAGCAGCATTCAAATACAGTGTGAGTGCAGTTACCTGCCGTATGTTGTTTACGTCATAAAACTGCAAAAAAATGATTAGCCAAAATTGAAATAATAAATTGGCCAATCGTAGATCGCTCTCAGCTGATTCTGATCACCTATACTCAGAAAAGACATTATTCTTGTTTACACTCACAATTGAAGGAGCACAGACTGCAGATTCATTGGTGTTGCTACTTAAAGGGTAATGCCACCGGATTTTCATAATTTCTTTGTGATTCTATCATTGAGAGATAAACCAAGTAAATTGGAGTGGTTTGGTGTGAAGTACTTCGTTGTAGAGACTCAGATTTCTTTACAGTGGTGGTGATAGGAACCAGGGGTCACCATGACCACATCACATACTGCCTTTTTATTTACTGTCCCAAAACCACCAGTGAACCGATACGTGTCTTCTGAGTTTTATATCGCATGTTCATAATGTTAAATAGTGGTAGTGTTTCAGACATCGCAGCGCATTCATTACTATGTCCTGTAAAAACTTTGTGATGGAACTTTTAGAGGTGGATGTCTGGTTCCTCAGACCACCACTGTGAACAATTGTGACGTTGTAAGTTTCTCTAGAACAGAGCAATTCACACCAAACTGCTCTGAATGACTTTGAAATATGAGCATTTTAATGATGTAATTATTGAATTCATCTTTAATATCCAAGGCAGTCCTGAAGTGCGTACCTCAGTGTCTGTGCTGTTCTGCCTCACCTGATTGCTCCTCAGTTACTCATCAGTGGATTCACAGTATCCCTCATGTGATGGTGACATGGTGTGCGTGCGTGGTTGGAGTGTCACTGGCAGTGTAGGAGAGCTCACGTTCTTGTTGTCTCACTGCAGGCGGAGGCTGATTTCTCAGCGTTCATCGCTGGAGACTCTGGAGGACATTGAGGAGAACGCTCCTCTTCGCAGGTATTTGCTCTAGTTTTCATTCAAACCTTTTGGCAAATTTAAGTGAATTTCCATAAAGTCGGTAAATGAAAATGCGAAATAATCAGCCAATCAGACAGTCCGTTTCCGCCAGCTGTTTTGCGCAAGTTCCTAAAGATGCTGTGACGCGCTTGCAAAGCATGTGGCCCATTTAAGCCTTTCACAGGTGCGATTCCCATCACTGGTATTTGAGGTGGCTGGTCCCTTGATAGTACAGTCCCGCTACTATTCTGGCGCAACAGTCAGCTTTATTTTGACCTATGCAGCTAAAACATGGTAACATTGGCAACATATGTTTGGGTCAATCAGTGGAAGTTAAACCTGCATTAAGTCTTTACCAGCCGCACACAGCGAACAGCACAACCACACATGAAAGCTGCGTTTAAAGTTCTGCTACGTCCGGTACACAGCGTACAGTAGGCTAGCCATTGATTAACTCAGTTAGCCTAATGCTAACAGCCACTAGTGCAGCCAGGTTCTTCACGGGTTCTTTATTACAGAAAATGGTTCTATATGGAACCAGGAACGCTCAAAGAACCTTTTGCATGATTAAAGCGTTCTTTGCATCATGAAATTGTTCATCAGATTGATGGAAAATCTGCATAAATGTGCTTCAGATGGTTCTGTATAAACCTTTTTGAAAAGGGTTCTTTATAGCACCCAACAGGGTTTTCTATTGTTACAAGCTTGGCATTGTAACAATAGAAGGACCCTTTTGGGTGCTATATAAAACCCTTTTCAAAAAGGTTCTGTACAGAACCATGTACAACACGTTCTCATCAATCTGAAGAATGATTTCATAATGTAAATAATGCTTTAATCATGCAAAAGTTCTTTGAGTGTTCATGGTTCCGTATAGAACCATTTTCATTACTAAAGAACTCTTGAAGAACCTTTTTAACTGTGTCGAATAACTTGACCGTCATCATATCCAGAATGCAGTGATTCACATCAACATGGCTGCACCTTCTGGTGATTATTTTCTGATGAAGTTATTTTAAAACACTTTATATTTGTCAGTTTCAGTGAATAATAGAATTAGAAGTCATGAAGTGTCACTACTTCATTAAAACGAGGCAGAAAAAAATCCAAGATCTGATAGTGTTTGCATGTAACTTAACCTCACCACAGCGTTCTGCTGATGACGTGGAGCTGATGTTGCGTAATAATCACATTTAAGAGCTGATACTACAGATGTAACTCAGTCTGGGTTGACCATTGGAGTCAGAACCTACTGTGTTAATGAGAGCTAAAGTCGCTGGCCCACTTCACCGTCGTCCACCGAACGGCTGCAAATGCCACCACAGCAAAAAGTATTGCCTAACATGACTTTCATTCCTGCTGCATTCACACTCATTCATACAGTGTCCATCAACTTTTTTTGGGTTTCTCCTTGATTATGAACCAATTTTTTTTTTTCACCACATCTAAGCAGAAAAACATTTTTTCCGATATTTGTGGTGGGTTTTTTGTTGTTGTTGTTGTTGCTTTCCCATCCAGGGTTTTTAATGCACATTTTCAAAATTTGCGAAAAAAAAAAGAGGTGAACAGAAACCCCACAACCTTCATAACCATCCATCCTCCACATTCTTATGCGTGGCCTTATCTGCATCAGCAATTATTTTCACCCTGTAGCAAGTCTAGAGTTATTACTATGATTTTGCTACTATTTAAATGCAATTTTATAATAAATCAGCAGAATTTCTCCTCTTACTTCAGTGAGCAGCAAATGAGAAATGATTAATATAAAATTCCAACATGCTTTCATCATTACTGGCAATAACTGTGAGGGTTAATGAGGACAGTTAATATTTGATATGAACGTGGTCTGCATGTGTAGAGAAGAAACCATCCAGGCTTTTGTTATATTAGCACATGTACATCCATTAGGGTTAAGTTTTTACTTAGTTTGCAACAAATAATGACCCTCATGTCTTATCAGCTATACTATACAGTAGATGTTCCATATTAGCATATCATGAGGCAGTTGATAAGAAAATGCTTATGCCCCTGACTGGAGTCTCTTAACGCTTCACTCTCTGTTTCAGGTGCCGAACCTTATCTGGTTCACCCCGACCAAAGAGCTTCAAGAAGGTCCACTTCATCAAGAACATGAGGCAACACGATATCCGCAACGGAAGGTAAACACATACCGTACACAACTACTCAGTGTCCATCAATGTTGCACAAGAGCCTGAAATTTCAGTTTTACTTTTAAGATCAGCTTTACAGTATTATGTTTTCTTTTGTGTTTTCATTAGAATTTTTTTACATCATTTTCAAGTCTTTTCAAGTGTTGTTTTTGTTTAAGGACAAGTAAAGATGCACTGCAGTGTCAGTCTTAACACAGAACCTTTAAGACCGCAGACTATACTTAAGTGTTCCGGAAATCCAAAAGCTTTCATACACTGTACAGAGAAAGTGTTGTTCAAGTGTAGTATTTTGTACTTTTAAATAGCATCTGAATTTGTCTTGGTTTAAAGGGGAATTCCACCGAGTTTTCAAAATATCTGCATAATTGAGTTGTTGAGATGTAAACAAAGTCATTCAGAGTGATTTCAAGTAAGATGGTTCATTGTCGGGAAACTTTTTCAGATTTCTTTACAGTGGTGGTGATAGGAACCAGGGGTCACGATGACCAGGACACCTACATGTGTCCTCTGAGGTTTATAGATACTGTTGATGATGGTAAAATAAAAATAAGTTTTCTTTGGGACTATATTGCCCCCACAACACCCTGCATGTATCCTTCCACCATGAACAGATTTTTAAAAAAGTTCAGATCAAAAGATTTTTCTAAAACTGTCATAAAACAATGTTATCAGGTTGCGTATTCGTAGCCATTTCATGTAATAACGTCCTTTTAGAGGCATTAAACTGTTCAGACGTCTGGTTCCCTTCACCACCCCTGCTGTGAACAATTCTGACATGGCAGACCACTCTGAATGCTTTGTTTACATCTTAACCACTAAATTATGCTGAAATTTTGACATTGCTTGGGAAAATTATATCATTTTTCCAGGCGGTAACGCAGTACTGCAGTTTAGACTGTCAGATCAGTCCAAATTATCATAACTATCCTAAATATTTCCTTGTTTATAGTGGAGTTTTTGATTCCTTGTGCGATTTGCAGTGAGCTACACCCACATACCCCTAGATTAGCACATTGTTTTTTGCTGTATCTTTCATTCCAGCGTAATAATAAGTCAGCCATGGGTTGTCGGCTGCAGGCAGCAGTGTTGTCGTTCTCCTTAAACCGTCTGAGTAGTTAGAATGCAAAACAAAAGCTGTTGACCTGGACGGTTTTCCTTCGGTTGGGAGCAGGTCTTAACGGCTCATGTGCTCAGTGAATGATTGTTTGTGCAGCGATGCGTGAGCTGTGGCTCTGTTCCAGCGTGTTAGATGAAGCGGTTCAGGTGTTTCAGACAGCAGCAGTGAAGGGTCGAGCTTTAAAGCAGTGTTTCACAGTCCTGCTCCTCCTGTAACAGTCCAATTTTGAAAGACCAGTTTAGCAAAAAGTCAGATTTACTCACTTTTCCCCCCTTCGTCCAAATGTAGTCGATCAGCCAAGACATGTTTGGTGTCTGAAGTTTGCTTCTTTAGTTTTGAACTGAAGCTGTGAGGCTAGTAGCTTATAGCTCACCAATTAGCATTGCGCTAACCTCACGCCTAAATCATTGTCCGCTTGCCTCAAACTGTGTGGAGTTGTTCAGTAATCTCCAGTAGACCGTGTTTGTGTGGTTTGCCTGACTTTTAGAGCTTGGCCGTTAGTTTGGGCTGAAAAATAAATGTTAAAACTCTTACATTAATGCTAATTTCTGTTAGCGCCTCTGTGAGAATTTTGGAGTATTAGCTCTTAGCTTACATGAACGTTTTCCTAGATTAAACACTGACATTTAAAGCTTGTTACAGACATCATGTTTTATTTGAAGCTTGGAACAGACATTAATTTATATATATATATATATATATATATATATGTATATGTATATATATATCACCTAGTAGCTGTTACTGTAACAGTGAAGTAAAGAGTCTCGGCATAGAGCTGCCTCTGTCTTCCATTTCTAACTACTGACTGAAACGCATCGGTCAGGCTACGACTCGTATTCACTGTCGGACTTCAGAAGCCCAGAAAAGACATTTTTCCCACCCATTGGAAATCAAAATATGATTGTTTGATTCATGTCAATGTTATATTTTGTTGGTGGTTATTATAAAATATGATGTTGATGGTTAGTCTGATACATTAGGCCCTCAGTTGAGATCACAAGGTCCTAACCAATGTGGGGTTCACTTGGCTGTACCTTCCTAGATACCAGAGTTTAAATATAACAAGCATATTGATTCCATTACATACAGGTTAGCTAAAAATTAGACATGCATTTTTTTTTATTTTACACAAATCTTTAAGCCTTCTGTAGAAGGCCCTGAGGGCCCAGACTTCAAGATGGCTTCTACTACTACTGTTTTTAGCTTTGCGGTATAGGTTAGTACACGTTTATAGATAACAGAAGGCCAAAGTGTGTCAGAAACCACATAAGCCAAGTCTTTTGGAACGTAATTAACACTTCACCATAGTTTGAGGCACGTGTGCCATGATTCAGGCATGCTAACAGGTGGCTAAGCTTCCATGACTTGTTAGCTACATTAGCCTCATAGCTCCAGTGCAAGACTAAAGAAGGAAACTTCGGACACCGAACATGTCTCGTCTGTTTGACTATCCCAGCTGGAGATCAATCGTAGAAAATATGAAATGTTTCTTTTGGTTCCTGGTGGCGTCCAGTAGTCAGTAATGGCATTTAGTGTTGTCCTGATAGGTTAGTATTACAATGTAAATGGTTCTAATGGTTTAACCGGTGTTTAAACCATGATGGTTTCCTAGTAAGTTCTAAAGGTGTCTTACATGAAACTAGTGGTCTCCAGTAGTTACCATTAAGCCAGTTCCCATTGGTTTTAATCGGGTTTTAATCCAAATGGTTCTAAATGGTCTGTTGTAAGCAGGAATCTTTGGGGCAAAGGGGGTGAAATTGTGCAATAAAAAACAGGATTGGAAACCACAGCTTTACAGGAGTAGTTTGACCAAATTACACATTGCTATCAGGATTAGCTTCTGTTGATGTTCTTGTCCTGATTAGCTATTCGAAGGCAGCCCCACAGACGTTTTCAGATCCTTTCTTTTTGTCTCCTCACTCTTCAATAGCACTTTTTCTTTTTCTGTAAAACTTTTCTTTCAGTTTGTTTCTTTGTACAACAATGTTTGTATGACTCTTTTTTTTCCGTCTTAAAATGTTTCAATAACATTTTTTTTTCCCAAATATGTTTCACATTTATTTACCAGACACTGTTTATGTCGCTCCATCTCTAGTCCTGTTCTCTATATTGACATAGCTCACTGAATTAGTTTATTTATCATTTTGTCTTTATAGGATAGTCCTTATCAGTGGCAGAAGATCCTTCTATAGTGTATTTTCTGTCCTGCCCTATCGTGATTGTAGCCAAACAGGGTATGTATTCTTCAGCATGCTAACCTTTTTTTTCCTTCTCCATCACGCCTCCCTGTTTTCACCCCCTGTCATTCCCTCTCATCACCCCCCGTCACTCCCTCTCATCCCTCATCATTATTGTTCCATCAAAACCAATGAATAGGGGTGCACGATCGGAATCAGCGATGTTCGCTCCTACAACGTGATTGGAAAACAGCTGATTTATTTTTATTTTGGCCGATCTGTGCGATGATGTTATGACATAAGTGAGTCAGCGGAGTGCACTGGTTGTGCTATACCTTCAAAAATTTTAACTGTTTGGAAATATAAGTGTGTGAAGTGCCTCTGTGCTTCGTATTGTGTTCATTTAGGCTGCCAAATTAAGCTTTGGTTAGACAGCAAATAAACAATGTTGTCTTTGTTTTTGTATATAAATTAAGGCCTTCTTTTTTCTTAGAAGACTAACACATCTATTTCTTTTGGACTTGAGGCTTTAAAATGTAATATTCCAGACTGCCAGTTCACAAGCTCTGCATTATTAGGTTAAATTTTCCCACAAAACTTAAGACGACATTGAATAATGTAGAATCTAATGAAAATTACTCTCGTAATTTGAAAACTGCACTCTGTCAAATTGCGATTTTGATATAAAAACTATTAATCATTCAGCTCTACACTTATTGTCTGTTGATTTTAAAAAAGGAAACAAAAACTTTGGCTACTGAAAATTTGTCCGGTTATGTCTGTGGCCAGGAGTCTGAGAGAGCATACAGTCATATGCAAACGTTTGAACACCCTTAGTCAAATGACTTGTTTTGTTGATTTTCTAAGTGAAAATAAGTGAACACATCCTCTACAGAGAACAAACATAAAATGCAGGCTGTGCAAAAGTGTGTATATATATATATATATATATATATATATATATATATATATATATATATATATATATAATATATTTTTTTTTGTATTTTATATTTTTCCCCAATATGTAAAAATCAGCAAATAAATAGAAATTGTGCACTAAAATTTGCAGAAAATATCGTATTTAAGTTTGTTGCCTGTAAAACTGTGTTAACTTTTCACTTAGAAAATTGTGTTGCCTCTTTAAGACCTTATTTCATAGTGATATTAGCAAACTTTAGTCAATGGAACAGGATCTATGATACCAGGCAGACGCTCATCACACTATCACGTGAGCTATTATGGTTAACAAGTTCCGACAAATGCACTTAGTTCTGCGTCCGACCAAACAGGTTTTTTAAAAAGAGGAAAACATGCAAAAAAAATCCAATCAAATATGAGTGATCACTCAGGCCACAGGCTCTGCATATTAAGTGCCCAAAATGAGAAATGTTGTAGCCAAGGGTGCAACTGGCAATCTGAGCCCCTGGCTTTGAACTGTCCAGTAACATTGCATTAGTGGCTGCTCAGGCGGTTCACATGTCTCGGAGGAATAGTAGCCTCCCAGCTTGGTAACATTTAGCCACAACTAAACTGAGAAGAAAATAATCAATAAAAAAAAATTGGCTCTCCACCAATCTAAATTAGCCTCAGAAATGCATGATCGGTGCACCCGTACTAATGAATAATTAAAACTTAATCATAGTCCTTAACAGAATTCTGAAATATTTTACACCCCGATAGGTTTGTTTATGCTGCTTAACTCCTTTAAACTTTTACCATTATGGTTTAATTATTCAGCAGCTGTCTGTCACTGCGCTCAGAATGTTTTACTCAGCATTTTCGACCTGCTCAAACTGGCGTTTAGTGATAAATCACCTGTGTCTGGTCCAATGTAGGTTAGACAGACAGATGAACAAGTGAAGGCATGCTTTTCACAGACCGTGTCCTTGCTCTGACTGCTCGAATGTTAGGGCGTGTCTCTAATAGGCCTCAAATGGGCTGCTTGTCCCTTCACTGAAGCTATGCTGCTTATTTTCTCTTCAATTCAGCGCAGTTCACAGCTCTCCGGCCTGGGCCTTAATGTTTCTCAGCACTATCTAAAGCTCTGCACCTGTCTTAATTTAGCCTGTGCTCTCAGCTGACATCATTCAACAAAAGATTAAGCCATTTTCTGTCCTTTAGGAAGCCCTAATTTGGACAAATCCATTAAGGTTCAGTTTTAATCAGCCTCAGATTTGCACTACGCTCTTAAAAAAATGCTCCTGGCTTGGTCTTACGGTTATAGAACAAACCTCTAACTAATTATGTGCAGGTTCTTTACACTTTAAACAGATTTCCCACCCTCAAACATCTCATTTACACTGTGGTTCTTTAAAGAACTGCCCCCTGGAAGGTTATTTAGAGGAACCAGAAGTGGTTCTCCTATGGAAAAAAAACTTAGTCACCTTTATTTTGAAGTGTGTGAGCAGAAGTGCATAATAGTGTTATGCTTGATTTGTGAATAGCAACAAAGGGGCAAATGAGTTCACATTTTGGGAGTTATTATTGTCTCCTTGGGACGTCCCTCCTCCTCGGTGGGGGTGGGTGAGAGTTATGACCTTGAGGCCAAAGCTATGTCTGTCCCCTGCTGATAGCACACTGAATGACTGTTTGGGGAGTAAAAATTGTTATAGATAAGAAACGGCTGTTTGTAAGTAAGTAAATAAATAAGTAAATAAATAAAGTATTCCAGCTTTGCTTTAGGGCGGAATATACACACAAATCAAACCACAGCCAGCACACTGTAGGAATTAGATATTAACGTGTTATGGGAGATGAACTTACGAACTTCAAAGATGCAATAAAATCAGTAATTTCCAGTTATATAACTAAACGCGAATGGTTATGTCACTTATACTGTGAACAGCCTGCGGCGGAAATTGGACCCAGTTTAGTCCGCTTGATGTTTTGCCCCGACTTCATTGCAGTCTAGTGCACTGGAGTGACTGCAGTGCCTGGCTGTAAATGGCCATTAAAAACATTCTCCTAAATATTGCTAAGCCTATTTTATATTAATACACACTAGGGATGGGCAGTTACTGGTTTCAGTGATCTGGCACAGTATAAAACCCAGTGATGAGGAGCTACTGTGTATGACATGCTTAGGGAAACCTTACACAATATTGTAAACATAATTTAGACACAAGGGACACAAAGGAACTTACTATTTTAAGGATTGAAGGATTTTCAAAACAGTCTGGAGCACCCAGCAAATGACATACATTAAAGGTAACTGTCAGGTCCTGGATACCATGATGATAATGTGCACACAATAGAATGAAACTAAAAACAAACTACTCTGGAAGTGGTACACTGTTATTTTTGTGATATATTTTGATAGACAGTGAGCGTTACTCAGTTGTATTTTTGAAACCAAGCTGGTCAAATGACGTTACGTCAGTTTTCTAAGAAAAAATATATTGACACATCCTCTACAGGAAAAACCTCTACAATTCCTGGCATTTTTCTGCTCAGTTTCTGTTCATTTGCTTGAGTTTGATTTACTGGAAAAATAAAAGAACATAAAATATAGAACGTGCCATAACTTTTGCACGACACATTTTATGTTGTATTCCGCCCCAACCCGCCCAGGAACATTTGCACACAGCTGTAGTTTCAAACTGTAATAATTCTATTAACAGTTAAGTCATTTTAAAATGTCACTTTGGAAGTAAAGAGCTCTACTGCTGTCACCTCCCTGCAAAGCACACGGCAGAGAGGTATTTCACAAAGCAAGATTTCTAAGTTAGCCAGCTAACTTAAACCCAAAGTCAAGCTTGTCCAATAGGAAAAGAACTGAGGGACATTTCTGTTGGACAGTCTTTAACTTTGGGCTTAAGTGATCTGGCTAGAAATCATACTTTGTGAAATGTTCAAACAGTTATAATCTGAGCTGTAAACAGCAGTAGTGTGTGTGTTGTGTGTGTATATATATATATATATATATATATATATATATATATATATATATATATATATATATATATATATATATATATATATAAACTAAAGTGCTCATTATCTAGCAAATATATCGCGGTAAGTCATTACCAAGGTATACAGGTGTGTGTGTGTGTGTGTGTGTGTATGTATGTATGTATGTGTATATATATATATATATATATATATATATATATATATATATATATATATATATAATGTCTGTATTGTCTGTACCTATATACTTTTGTTAATGACTACTGTGATACATTTGCCAGATAATGAGCATTTTTTTTATATATATTTCTGACAGTCGTATGCAAAAGTTTGGGAATGTTTTGTCGAATTTCTAAGTGAAAATAAGTTATGGCGCATCTTATTTTATATTTTATTTTTTCCGCTAGATTAAACTCAGCAAATAGAGTTATGCACTAAAATTTGCAAAAATGCCATATTTAAGTTTGATCTCTGTGGCGGACGTGTCAACTTATGTTCACTTAGAAGATGAACAAAACATGCAATTTGACCAGGAATGTCCAAACATATGACTCATTATGCATCAAACAATGGAGCTAGAATAGCACTGTTGTCACTGTTGCAAAGCAGTTTGTTTTTAGTTTTTGTTTTCTGTTTTGTGCACATTACTCATGGTGTCCCAGACAGTTAACTGCATGTCATTTTCTAGGTTGTCTAGACTGTTTTGAAAGAAGAGTTTAAAGTCCCAAAATCCTTAAAATAATAAGTTTCCGTTTGTGGAAGCTTGACTTCTGTCTAATGTATAGTGTTGTGTAAGGTTACCTTAGGTGTAATTTTTACTAGAAGAAAATGGAGCAAAACAGTCCAATTAAAAATAAACTACCGTATTTTAGGTTTGCGAGACATTTGTTTTAGTATATGTTTCAGCTTCTTTAGCTTCATATATCAAACCTGAAGTACGAAACCTGGGTGTGATCTTAGACTCTGAGCTCTGTTTTATCCCGCATGTAAACGCAGTCACTAAAGTAGCTTCCTGTAATCTGAGAAGTATCGCTAAAGTTCGGCCTTTTCTATCTCACCTTCTACAAAAACATGGAGAGACTCGTTCAGTTATTCTGTTTTTAACTGTCGAACTCAGTTCCACCTTTTTTTTATTTTATTTTTATCTCTTTATCTTTACATTTCTCGTATAACTGTTTTTTATCACCTGTCTGTAAAGCACTTTGAGCTGCCACCAGCATGAAAAGTGCTATATAAATAAAAAAAAATATTATTATTATTAATATTATTGTAGAGTTGCATCACTTACAAATATATCACCCAGCCCTACTACAGGGTTTAAATGCGTATTAGTACTTTTTAAACATTTTCAGTATATTTGAACATTTCCAATTTATTATTATTATTATTATTATTATTATTATTTATTACAAAACACTAAATATTGTGATCATTTTGGTCGCTGATATCATGAGAGGAAATTTTCGCATTGCTCCTTTTCTAACACACACAGTGCTCTGCCCTCCTTTTAAGCAGTGCTGGTTGGAGTCTGTCTCTCTTTGGCACGTCCGCCCCACTGCACCACTTACCCGTGTTGTAATGTGTTGTGCGTCCTCTCAGCTGTTCCTGTTACAGAAATTGATTTTAGTGCGCGGATTGAGAGGTCAGTTAGCCCTCTGTGTGCAGCTCCATTGACGTTCTTCATCCCCTCAGCTTGGTTTTCATGACACTGCAGTGAGAGGTGGTCTTGTTAATGTACTGAGAACACATGTCGGCCTGTTCTTCTCCTTAGTTTTGCATAGATTGTGCTTGGCTTATGTTCACTTGCTCCATTGCTCAGCAAATAAATGTGCTGTTATAGGTTTTGTAATGTGATGGAAATGGGTGCAGCTTGGTGGTTGAGGTTTTTCTCTAAATGCTTCCTCATGGGCTTTCTTTGCTGAATCTTTTCCATCTATAAAAAGGTACGTTTGGGGTTTATTAGCAGGATTCCTGTTGTTACAATGTTTTGCAGGGTGATGGGCGAAGGGAGAGATTTCAAAACATTTGACTCCTCGCATGAGCAGTTAAGTGTAATGCCTCTCTGATTCACCTTCACCTTGAGGAATCAGCTCAGCCTGTGATAACGTGATTTCTTAACTCTGTTCGATGGAAATCTCATCTGTAGCTGGCTCCCGAGTGGCGCAACCATCGAAACGTTGGTCTTGTCATCAGGAGATCTCAAGTTTGATCCCCAGCGATGCCACAGCCTTGCCAAAGGATAGTATCTGCTGCTTGTGTTCAAAACATTTGGATTCTTTATTTATTTCACCACTGGAGACGTCATCCACACAACAGACTTTGTAGTAGTGTTGCACTGAAATGAATATTCCTGGCTAAAAACAGAACATTTTTGTTTTGTATTTATGCTCATATATGCATTTTTTTTTTTAGGTTAATAAAAGAAAATACACTTTTATTATTGATTAAATCTGCTTTTAATAGGACATAACTAAGCTGGCAATAAATAAAAACAGTTCACACTAAATAATCATTCTAAAAGGATGTCCACGTAATTCTGCCTTTTCAACAACACATAATTATTGCAATGAAATCCAGTAATGTTTATCCTTACACTTTGGTGCACTATTGTTTGTGATTTTTTTTCATCATTTCAAAAGATGAGGCTACAGATGGCATCAGTGTGCTTTCTGATTGTTGTGTTTTGCTGTATTTGAAGAAAATAGTGCATCACACCTGTAGTGGAGAAATTCTTGAGTATTTTGCCTTCTCTTCATACTTATCATGTCATGAATTGAGATTATAAACTGCTATTGTCATCATAGAAACCACTATCCCTTTTCTTTTTCTCTTCCACTCACTGTTGATCTGCTGCTGCTCAAACTGTTTGAATATCTGCACTGACCAACACAGGAGAGTGAAGGAAAGAGTTGTTTTGTTTTTTTTGTTTTTTTTTATCACTGTTTGTCATTTTTATTGTTATTCAAATTAGAAATAGTTAGTGTAAGATTGTGGCATTTCATTGTAGACCTACTTATTCTTTTGTGTTTTTTCAGCCAGAATTTCCAGCCTTTTTTCTCCTTCTGCCAAAAAAAACTACCAGTTTTGAACATCAGCTGAAATGTTTCAGTGGCTGCAATTTCAGTGCATCCCTACTTTGTAGTCCATATTGGGAAAACGTTCATAAAAAATTCCGGTCTTTTACTGTCATTTAATCATTTGAAACATTGACATGGTGTCAAATAACACGCTTGCCCCATATTCAGCTTTATGTTGTAGAGCCTGTAACGTGCAGCACCTCCAATTCATGAACCTACAATTTGAACACAAACAGCAGGCGGCAGTCTGACCTCCCTCTCCCCCCCCCATCACTCAGCGCCATGCTAGCCAACATGAGTGTCTGTTTACTGACGTAACAGAATTAGTGTTCTCCTCCAAGCGTGCTGAGCTGTCAAATGATGTTGTATTAGCATCAGTTTGGAAGAATGCAGTCGAGCTTCATGTGACTTCAGGCACATGCCAGCCTTCACCCTCCTAGCTTGCCAGCGTGGTGTGATTGGGGGAAAACCTAGCCAGCGGGTAGAAATTTGGGTATAAATCTGAAAAAAAAAAAAATCTTGTGTGTGCCTCTTTGTGTAATTTTCTCCATCTCGAGTCAAGATGAAAAGTCAGCAGCCTTGTTTTCCCCGATGCTTCAGACAATGCTGTTTGTATTTCTGCTTCGCGTCTCTGTCGCGCCTTTGCTCTTTAACAGTCTGCAAACAAAGACACCATTATATCCACCCATCAGCTTTGTGCAGAGTCTGACCCGTCCTCCTCCTTCTAGGGCAGCCGCTTTGATTCCTCTGCTTCAGTATGATGACATACCGACAGTTATTTTGAAAGGAAAAGCGTGGCTTCCTCTTGCGGCGCCTACATTTTTTTCAAAGGTTTGGCAAGCAGGTTTAACAGGTCTGCTTTAGCCCTGGGTGTTTTATTTTGAGCTAATTGGATTCCACAGACCAACAGAGCCCGGTGTAGCAAGGAAAACACGTATGGCTTGTTTAGCACCATTACAGACTTGTTTGTCTGTCAGGTGTCAGTTAAAAGAACGACTAAGCGTTTCTCAACTTCCTTGTTTAAGGAAGCACATGGAATCTATCACAGTGGTCTGAAATGTAACACGCTGGTGATGCAAGACTACCTTAAAGCGATGGTTCGGCCAAAAACCTAATGTGGTCAATCAAATGTAGCCACATTTTAGCTTCTTTAGTTTTATACTGGAGCTACGAAGCTAATTTAGCTAGCAAGTAATGAAAGCGTATAGCCACCAGTTAGCGTTGTGTTAAAAACATATCTGGGTCATCACACTTGCCTCAGACTGTGTTGAGTTGTTAAGTAATTGCTAATAAACTTGTTTAGGTGGTTTCTGATACTGTATGATATACTGTTATGAATAGAACTGACAAAATGTTGACCTTAAAGTGGCTGATACAACTTTTTTTAGCTATCTGAAAAGTTGTTTTTTTTTTTGCTTTTTGGCCAGGCTATCGCTTTAAATCTAATATCTTGCTTTGCATTCCTGTGGGCCTAACTGGAAAATTTCAGAAATGTCACCATTTTCCAATCATTTGAAGAGTATGAACTGATTTATTTGAGCTTTATTTTGTCTTGAACCCTACATAAACCCAATCTCTCCCTCCATCACTATTACCTTTTAGATTTCATCTGAATATCAGTTATTTTTGTGCAAACGTCCCGCTAATCAACATGTACTGAATAGCTGCGATGATGTGATCAGACAGCAGTAATGAAGCAGCGCGTGTAATGAGTTGATATGATGGTGTTGCTCTGGCAGAGGACGTCAGTGTTCTAAGTGGGTTCTTTTCGCCCCAGCAGAGATGTGAAGGCGGAGAGTGGGCGCCAGAGACACCCTTCAGGCGGCGTGAGTGCCAAGGAGATGGTTATCGGCCTGGAAGGCGTGGAACTGGGCGCTGACGGCAAGGTGAGGACACTCAGCTGATGTGGCGTGCCTTCTGTCACATTTCTGTTCTGTGTATGTTTCTAAGACGCACGTTTAGGAAGCAGATGGCAGCGAGTCACTTCGATTATGGTTCTTACATTCAGTGCATCTCAGTCTTTATTTTTATATATATATATATATATATATATATATATATATATATGAATGTGTGTGTGTGTGTGTGTGTGTGTGGATGTATGTATGTATGTATATATGTATGTGTATATATATAGTGTGTGTATATATATATATATAGTATATCTATATATATAGTTTATCTATAGTATCTATATATTATATATATATATATACATGTATGTATATATATATATGTGTATACACACACACACACACACACATACATACATAATCTTGTCTTTAACCCCACCCCCAAAAAATATATAAATAAATAAAATTATATTGTTTTCACTGTTTATTTTCCACTTCTGTGTAAATCGTTCCTACCATTCACATTTGTACATCGACTGTAATTATAACAGCAATTTTAAGTCATACAAAATCAACAAAATCAATAAATCAAATGAATGAGACATGCTTTATTTAAAATTAATATAATTGTAATCAAAGATAACATTTACAAATAATTTGCCACTTTCAGATTGATGGACAGCTCTACTAGGAGGTACTTATGGAGTTGTCCAATGTCTCTCTGTCCACAGACTGTGTCCTACATGCAGTTTTTGTACCCCACCAATGTCCTGGGCCGCCGAAACACCATCGACTCCACTTCGTCCTTCTCTCAGTCCCGGAATGCCAGCCACCGGAGCCTCAGCCTGGCACGTGCCAACAGCAACCAGAGCAGCCTGGACACAGGTGCCCCTGCCAGCTCAGTTTCTTTCACTGCCCACTCATTTCCCATCATTTCCCTCCTCTATGGCAAAACAAGGGTCCGTCTGTTGAGTTTTAATAAGCATTTTGGGAGGTTCATTAAACTGCGATGTCAGAATGCAGGGTTTTATGAAGGGTGCACTCCTTATCAAGGACATATCTGTGCGTTTATTTTGTATAAGGGAAAAGTCCAGATTTCTGTATTTTTGAATGGTCATTAAGATCTGAAAAAGAATAGTAAATCAAGCATTTGCATAATCAAAATAGTTGATTGTTAGAGTTATAATGTTGTGCAAGAGCACTTCAGCTCTTGGACCATATCAGCTACAGTATGTCCCCAGTCCTGTCAAGATATTTCTGAAACTGTGGTTTTATTTCTTCATTTTCAATAAGTCCAAACGTCTTTTTTGAAAAATTTCTCTATCCATCTGAAGATGCAAATACGACTTGAAAATGCTCAAGTTAGCATGCCAACCCAGTAGGCGTTACTAATACCTCATAAAATTTTACATCAGACGCCTCAAGAAGAACATTGTGAGCGTGAACATTGTTCAGAATATTTAGTGTAAAGCTGAGGCAGAGATTTTCTAATAAAGTGATGCTGGTATGTTGCAAACACACAAAAAATTGAGGCGGTCCCCCGTAATTTGATGTCTCATAGATTCAAAGTATAATTTCTGCCAGAAAATAAAAGTTTAAAATCTTGCTGTCGTGGTTTTAAGTTGCCATGGCTACGGCTCTGTCTCTGAAATGTCCACACAGTCCTGATCAGGGAGAGAAGTGGAGTTTTTCTTGCTTTTAACTCCATTTGAGTTATGGAGTTAGGGCTTTTTCCGAATCTTTGTAATGATCGTCCCTCGTGTAAGTCACATTTTTAATATTTGCAAACGAGTTGTTACCCCTTTTAAAAGAACTGAGTCGAGTACTTTGCCTTTGCATTCCAATGTAATGAGAAAATAAAGGTAAATTAATTTATAAATGTTCTCAACCATCCAATTGCCGAGCACGCAGAGACCCACTGGTCAGCTGTGTTTCAAAGAGAGTTCCTAATAAAGGAAAACAGCAACAAGTGTGTGCAAGTTAATGGTGTGATGTCAGCATTTTCAAAAAGATCCAGCCAGGAGAGCCATGCCGTTTTTGTATGGACGGGAGGACCAAACCGGAGAATGAAGACTCCATTTTCAGCAATATCCGCATTCATGTAGACAAGGCTTACATGTCCAAAAGTATACAGTCCTTTCTAATTAGCGCTGTCAGCTACTTTAAGGTGCACCTGTTGTATAATGTCCATAGAATAGTGTTGCTAATACAATGGGACGCTCTGGAGCAGCCGCACATAATTGTGCAATTCCCATTATGTAAATGTTACTAGCCTTGTCTAAACAGACAGTGCTATAGGATACGGCGAAAACAGCTCATGTTTTCACAGCAACTTTCACCCTGACAGCGAAACTTGGTAAACAGGATCATCTATGTATGTGCTGAGGCTGTTGCTGTAGATGGTTCTGGAAATCTGGCAGTTCCAGCACACGCTGAGTTTGTTTACTTTGTTCTCTCACAATCCACAGGGAACGAACTGGGAGATTTCAGGGAGTACGACCCCAACCTTCTGGATGACCCACAGTGGCCATGTGGAAAGCACAAACGGGTCCTCATCTTCCCTTCATACATGGTGAGTTCACGTCCAGCACAAAGGCATCGGATAAAAATTGCTCAGAGTCGTCCTCTACAGGTCCTGCTTTTCTTTACGAAAACTTACGCTGATTATTCTAAGCTAGAGGTCTTCAAATCTGGACCTCCATTCCAGGTTCTGATCCTGTTTTTACTGATTTACTGAATTACTGATACTGTTGATGTAGCTGATCGGCCACCTGCTGTTATAGCTACCAGTAACTACAAAATCCAGGACTGGAAACTGGATTCAGGGTGTGATTTGAAGACTCTGTCTAAGCAAATCCAGCTTGATTGATGCTTGAATATTATATGTGTATGGTTAGATGCAAGGCTGCACAGTATTTTGTCAGTATTGAGATGTCAGCCTTTGCAATACTGATATTTAGCTGTCTAACCAATTACATGTTTTATGCGCTGCATTTTTTAACCAGAATGATTTACGTTCGTTGGATCGTGTGAATGTCAGGATGCTTTGGTTTGTGTCACAGATGTTTTTGTGGGAGTTTGGATGAATCAAGGCATTTACACAATCCAACAAACATAAATCATTTTGTATTTAACGACATCAGTGTTTTTAAAGGCCACGTATCATGGAAACCTTGAGAATTTTCTCCCTTTTTTCAAATAAGAGCTTGATTTAGTATAGAAACATTTGTCATAGTTTCGAAACCATTTCAGTGTCATTCATTCCCCAGTCCACACAGTCTGTACACTGAAGAACAGGGTAAAAGGGGGCTAACAAAGTATGCAGAGAAACAGATGGACTACAGTCTGTAACTGTAGAACTACAAAGTGCACCTATATAGTAAGTGGAGCTGATAAAATGGACAATGAGCGTAGAAACAAGGAACATAACATAATGTTATGCCTGATCAGTGTATTTGAGAAATAAGTTGCAGAAGTGGCTCATTTTATTTATTGTTGTTTTTGTTTTTGTTTTGTTTTTTTGATATCACAAAGAAACAACATATTTACCTATAACCACCCATTCATGCTGAAGTTATATGGAGTGTTTTTGCTCAGACTGCAATTTATGAGACAAAATACAGGGCAGCCAATCAGAGGTCATTTACATACACTATATGGCCAAAAGTATTGATCTCAGATGTTTCCTCCCCACCTATTGCTCAGTGACTTAAACGTGGCATTATCATGTAATGCCACCTTTGCCACAAATCTGTTTGTGAAATTTCTGCCCTGCTACATCTTCCCCTGTCAACTGTAAGTGCTATTATCGTATAATGAAAGGGTCTAGAAGCAACGGCAGCTCAGCCACAAAGCAGTAGGCAAATTCACAGAGCAGGGCCGTAGCATAAGTGCGTAGCACCTAAAAATCATCTTACAGAGTGAAGCTTGCCTCTGGAAACGGCACAAGAATTGTGCATCGGGAGCTTCGTGAAATTGGTTTTAATGGCCGAGCAGCTGCACGCAAACCAAAGATCACTATGCGCAATGCCAAGTGTTGGCTGGAGTGGTGTAAAGCACGAGGCCACTGGACTCTTCAGCAGTAGAAACGTTCTCTGGAGTGATTAATCATGCTTAACTATCTGATGGACGAATCTGAGCTTTGCCAATGCCAGGAGAACACTGCCTCTCAGAATGCATAGTGCCAACAGTAAAGTTTAGTGGAGGAGGGATAATGGGCTGGGGCTGTTTCACAGGCCCCTTAGTTCCAGTGAAGGGTGATGTTAATGCCACAGCTTACAGAGACATTTTAGACAATTATATGCTTGCAACTTTGTGACAGCAGTTTTAGGGAGACCCTTTCCTGTTTCAGCAAGACTGAGCCCCTGTGCATGAAGTGAGCTCCATAAATACATGGTTTGACAATGTTGGTGTGGAGAAACTCCAGTGGCCTGCACAGATCCCTGTCCTCAACCCGACTGAACACTTTTGGGATGAATTGGAACACCAGCCAGGCCTTCTCATCCAACATCAGTGCCTGACCTCACAAATGCTCTTTTGACTGAACAGGCACAAATTCCCACAGACACTCGCCAAAATCTTGTGGAAAGTCTTCCCAGAAGAGTGGAGGCTGTTATAGCTGCAAAGGGGGGCAACTCCGTATTGATGCCCATGGTTTTGGAATGGGATGTCCAGCATGCTCATTTAGGTGTAATGGTCAGGTGTCCACATACCTTTGGCCATATAGTGTATATAGGCAGTCTTAAAGGCACAGTAACAAAAACAGCCTGTTTGATTAGGATAAAGAGAGCTTGGAAAATGATCATGTTTGAATTTATTTCAAATGGTTTTGTTCCATAAAACCAGGTAAATATTAAAAGTGGACCTCAGAGCAAAATAAAATGTAAGAAAAATTAATATTTTATATTCTTTTTCAAGGCACAGTGTAGCAATATAAACACTACATTAATACTGTGCAGCCCTAGATTGATTCAGCCTTGTGTCCTCTGGCAACAAAATGACCGACTCTTCTCAGGATGTGTCCCTTTCACCCCTTGCGGTCACTTCAAAAGCATGTCTTGTCCGCGTCTGTTTATCCTCACAGACTCTGGCACACTGCGACTTTCCGAAACCCCCAGGTGTCTGCTAATTTAGCATGTAATGTCCTGAGGCCAGCTACCATAGTGCTCCCCTTATTTGATATTTTCAGGCTCGGATTGGGGAATTTGCGTTCCTCTCTGCACATTTTGTCCTTTTATACGAGTTAGTTAGCGTCTGCTTTCTTCTCTTTCGGCGGTGCCTGTTATCACGTTCTCATGTTCCAACGGAAAAGCCTTCTTTATCGTGTTTACATAATAGACTCCCTGTTCATTTCCCATTTCAGCCGTGTTTTTGTTATTGGGCTGCATAGTAGACACGTACTTGAACTCGAACAAAAAAATCCAGGCGAGGTTTTTTTCCTTCCCCTTCCTTCTATTGCTAATGTAATTGTTCATGACAATTTGTATTGTGTTCTCAAAGGACTATTACCAGAGAACCGGAGAGAACAGAATGTTTCTTTGACCATGAATCAGAGCTCAAGACTTTCTCAGTGCAATTATGTGATTTAAAACAAATATCTTTCATCCGATTCACATATATCACATTTTGCCTTGGCATAGACCGATCAGTCATTTTTCCTCTTTTCTTTGCTGTTTTATTATTTATTTTTTAAAGATGTTTTCCTTTTTTATTTGCCTGGTTCCACTGATCCTGTTCCTTGCATCAATAGGTCCTTCTCAAAGCGAATATCTAAAGCCACCAGCTTTTAAAAGCATAGGTTATAATGGGATTTGTTGTTTGTCAAAGCTTTTTTGTTAGGGGTAAGAGCTTGACTGAGATCTGATCTTGTTTGATGGACATTATCGGGATAGGGGAGCCACTGAAGTCTTTCCTTGTACTGATAGAATCTCAACTGAACGATCTTTGACAGTGAAAGTAGAGACCAATGCAGACATTGGCTCTGACAACCAGAGAGCTGATACTAATCTAGCAGCAATGAACAGAAACCGGTTCTCTCACTGTGGAGAAGCCAGGACCATCTTCTTTATTGCAGGTTAAGTTAGCTAGTAGGGATAGACATTTCAGTCAAATTTCATAGTTGAATTTGTGAGACATTCATAGATATTAATATTTCTAATAAAAATAGAAAATTCATAATAACAAAAAAGGCTACAGCCAGACACGTCACACAGACAAAACACAGCCTCCAGAAAAAGGCGTCTTAGTATACTCAGAAAATATTAAACCCAGACCCATAGTAGATGACCTTGAAAAAACACTGAGAAACACTGAGAAAAGCCAGTGCTAATTGTTTTCACCTCATCTAACATTACTAGCCTGGTTTGGTCTAGTCTAGCCCAGCCACACTGTAACTATTTCAACTCGTACCAAATGTGAAAAGCCTGCTAAATGATGCTGAATGTTTATTGTATCAGTCCTACATTAGTAGAGTGTAAATCTTGCTTGCACTTGTTGTTAATCAGTGCTTTTCTGTGGCGTTCCTATGCAAAATAGCTGAACTTTGTACTGTCTGCTTTGAGGTAGCTTTCAGTCTAGGGCTGCGTGATTATGGCACATATCATAATCACGATCACTTTGGTCAGTATTGAGATCACGATTATTTAACATGATTACTCACTGACTTCGAAAACGTACCTTTTTTTTTTAAAAAAAAAAAAGGGCAGTGGTTTTAACAGTTGATTTTCTTGAACTTTCATATAGTTCAACTGAAAAACAAATAAAGCAATGTAAAAAAAAAAAAAACGTATAAAATATATGTGTGTGTGTGTGTGTGTGTATGTATATATTTATATATGCTGTCGGAACAAAATGATAACAGGAGAAGGAAAAAACATACTTTTAATGTAAATCAATAGAACCAGACTTTTGGGCTGTTTCTTTTGGTCTATGAAATTTGCAGAGAATACAGAGGGCCACAAGCATTTTTTAAATTATGTCAAAAACTGAAAAACACAACAATTAATAAACAAGGTTTTGTTTCGACAGCAGCAATACATATAAATTAATAATATAAAAATTTTAAAAAAATAAGATGGCTGCACTTTGACAACCTACTGAAAACCACTAAACATATCTAAAATTAATAAATAAAAATAAATTAGATTAGTCTTGGCTTTTATGGAGGGGTGACAGCACACGGCTGTAAAGAAAAGAGATGTGTTGGATTTTTAACATTAGACAAAATGCGAGCGTCAATGCGAAATGTAGTGTGGTGCAATAATCATTTTGTTTTTATGATCGTTGGAAGCCAAAATCGTAATTGCAAATAAATCTGATTAATTGCCCAGCCTTGCTTCAGACTTCTGCTGTAGACTGTCTGTGCTTCTTTCATTGGACTAAACAGATACGAAGCGTATGACGCAGGCGCTTCACTGCCCTGTGGTGGAGTATAGTTCAGACATCTCAAGGATCTAAAAGAAAAATGCATAACATTACACAGAAACTATAATATTAAAAAGTTTTATTTACTATTCAATATTTTTTTTACTGCCATTACTATTCAAAAGCCTGTAAGTTCTGACTCTACCACCTTTTTTCTGCTTCCATACAGACCACAGTTATCGAGTACGTCAAACCCTCCGACCTCAAGAAGGACATGAACGAGACGTTTAAAGAGAAGTTCCCTCACATTCGCCTGACACTGAGCAAAATTAGAAGGTAAAGTTCTCCAGTTCTCATGAAGCTTGACAGCTATAGTGCATGTTAACCTCTACAACATAAAAAAGAAGCTGAAAATATCCATTGATGTCAACACTGCTCTGCTGGAACATTTAAGTTTGCTAAAAAGCAGTAACCCACGAGAGGCCATGCATTACAGTGATTTTACCAAATCAAGGGGTGGATGTTGGCTCAAAACCCCTCAACTGCAGTAAAATTACTAACTTATTTCTTATTGCTTATTGCTTTTGGACAACAGTGACGGAATACAATGTGTTACAATATTCAAATGTTCAATAAATAAACTAGTGCTGTAGGTGACGCCTCTGCACTCTACGTGGCGGTCAGGGGTTCGATTCCCCATCTAGGCTAGCACATCTTGCTATACCAAAAAATATAAATTTATTTTAATTTATTAATTATAGTAGGTATTGTTCCAAGCAATGTATGCCAACCTTGGTGAAAATACATGTTTTGTTTATTTTCTAAGTGAAAATAAGTGAACTCACTTTTTAATACACAATTAATGTTTATTTGCTGAATTTAACATATTGGGGAGAATCTTAACAATGTGTCCTGTGCAGAAGTTATGGCACATTTAATATTTCATCATTTTTTTCAAGTATGCTAAACTCAGCAAATAAATCAAAATTGTGCATTAATGTTTGCAGAAAAGTGTCATAGAGGAACATGAAATTTGACCAGGGGTGTTTAAACTTTTGCATATGACTGTTCTTCAGCAGTTGGCTATGGTTACCAAGCAAAGATTATTACATGTGTATATCAGTTACTGTACAATGGCTTTGGACACGGCTCAGCTAATCAGCGTTCAACTCTGCGTTCTAAGTCTAATTCACACAGAGCTTATTCAGAACTTTGAGTCTAAACATTAGATACTCAAAGGTGTTGCAGTGCTGAGCTTATCGGCTTGGTTTACTCAACACTAATTATGTAATTGAGATTACATGCAATCCCCAAAGGCACAGTAGACCCCTTTACTCCAGTCCCTGATCAGGATAAGCAGGCCAAAGATTAAACAACAGAAACATCCAGCTGCGCTCTTGAAGATCTGTTTACGAATGCTGAAGGACAAAAATGAGCCGATGTTTTAATCAACCTAATTTTAAGACTTAACACTTTAGTCTGATAAAGCAGCTTCAGTAGGAACACGAATGTACACACGTTTACTGTGGGGTCCAAAAGTCTAAGACCACAAGTGAAAATGCTTCTACTTTTCTTTTCTAATTTTAACAGTTTTTTCATTACAAATCATCACATCTTTGAAATACTTACATGACTTTCCATAAGTTTGTGTAAAAGCCTCTGATGAGCTGGTCAGATCCACTTGAGAGTCGTCTTAACATGAGCTTCAATGGAAGAGATGACTGTTTATTTATTTATTTATTTATCAGAATTTTTTTTTTTTTCTTCATATTTTTCCAAATTTCTTTTTGTTGTTTATTTCAGGATTATTTGAAACAATCCAGGTCTCAGATTTTTTGTAAATTAGTATTTTCTACATTAATAGTTACCAAAGAAATGCCATGAAAAAATGATGCATGCAGTGACCTTCAATGACCTTCATCGGCCATATTAATTACATCTGCTTTATTTTTGAGTAAATAAATGTCTGCAAAAAAAAGTTGGGATTCTAAGCAGAAATGGTTTACAGTGAGTAAAAACAGAAAATGAAAATATATTTCACAGTAAATAACTGGGGGATGGTGGTTGGAGGGGCACCGACACTAAAAAAGAACATTGAAATACTGTTTCCTTTAACCAAAATGAAAAGTTCTTTATCCCTGGTTCTGTGAAAACGAACTGGACTGGAATAACGTTATTAACCAGTTATCCACAGTTTTAAAATAGGTTGATTTTGTGCCTGTTTTTGATTACAATGTGTGAAAAATGTGTTTTTCCTAATCGCTGCTGTTTAGCACTGTATCTGTAGACTAGGCCTGTTCTGAGGCTGTATGGATGAGAATCAGACTGTGGTCTTGTGTTTCAGCCTGAAGAGGGAGATCCGTAAGCTGGCGCAGGAGGAGTGCGGTTATGAGGAGCCCACAGTGGCCATGGCCTTCGTCTACTTCGAGAAGCTGGTGCTGCAGGGCAAGCTCAACAAGCAGAACCGCAAACTCTGCGCCGGTGCCTGCGTCCTCCTGGCAGCCAAGATCGGTGGAGACCTCAAGAAGCATGAGGTCAAGCTTCTGATTGACGTAAGTCTATCATAAGTAGATCATATCAGCGGCTTTCTCAGTGACTTCAGATGCATGACTGTCCGTTGTATTTCTGCACAAGGAGTGATTAAGAATGTTAAACATACACCGATCAGGCATAACATTATGACCACCTCCTTGTTTCTACGCTTATTGTCCATTTTATCAGCTCCACTTACTATATAGGTGCACTTTGTAGTTCTACAGTTACAGACTGTAGTCCATCTGTTTCTCTGCATACTTTGTTAGCCCCCTTTCACCCTGCTCTTCAGTGGTCAAGACCCCCATGGACCCTCACAGAGCAGGTACTATTTGGGTGGTGGATCATTCTCAGCACTGCAGTAACACTGATGTGGTGGTGGTGTGTTAGTGTGTGTTGTGCTGGTACGAGTGGATCAGACACAGCAGTGCTGCTGGAGTTTTTAAACACTGTGTCCACTCACTGTCCACTCTATTAGACACTCCTACCTTGTTGGTCCACCTTGTAGATGTAAAGTCAGAGACGACAGCTCATCTGCTGCTGCACAGTTTGTGTTGGTCATCCTCTAGTCCTTCATCAGTGGTCACAGGACGCTGCCCACAGGACGCTGTTGGCTGGATATTTTTGGTTGGTGGACTATTCTCAGTCCAGCAGTGACACTGAGGTGTTTAAAACTCCAGCAGCACTGCTGTCTGATCCACTCAGACCAGCGCAACACACACTAACACACCACCACCACATCAGTGTTACTGCAGTGCTGAGAATGATCCACCACCCAAATAGTACCTGCTCTGTGAGGGTCCATGGGGTCCTGACCACTGAAGAACAGGGTAAAAGGGGGCTAACAAAGTATGTAGAGAAACAGATGGACTACAGTCTGTAACTGTAGAACTACAAAGTGCACCTATATAGTAAGTGGAGCTGATAAAATGGACAATGAGCGTAGAAACAGAGGGTCATAATGTTATGCCTGATCGGTGTATGTTCACCTATTAACACAATGCATGGTAAAATCACACACTGGCCACATCAGTTAGTTTCAAACAGACTTGCACTATGTTGTTTCTGACACTGTGTGACAGACTGTGATACAGTCTGGAACGTTTATCTGAAGAATCTGGACTTTATTAATACATTTGTTAAGCAGAATTTGATTTTGAACAGCTGATTATTTAATCATATCGTATTATTGGCTATTAGTGGTGCTAGATGGTAGAATAACCAGTGCTAATAGCAGAGGATAAGCTAGTTAAGGTCTCACAGCTACCTGGATGGTTATTCCATACTGCCAGTTTCAACCAGGACGTTTGACTAAACGTATCACTGCTTAAGCTTTCACACATTCTTGATTAAATCTGTACAGTTGCGTGCAACTTTTATGACGTTTGTGGTGTTGCGTTCGATCCCCGAGGGCTGCTGTATAATGAATGAGTCGTGGTATTTTTGCCCTTTAGAAACTGGAGGAGAGGTTTCGGGTGAATCGGCGTGAGCTGATCGCCTTCGAGTTCCCCGTGCTGGTGGCCCTGGAGTTCAACCTGCACCTCCCTGGAGCACGAGGTCATGCCCCACTATAGACGCCTCCTGCAGAACTCCTAGCAGCAGCTTTCCGTCAGGAGAGCCACCCCCTACTCTCCTGATCGACTGTGTCCTTGCGGACCTTCAGCGAGAGAAGCCCTATGCACCTGACCAACATCTTCAGCCCAGAGGTGTTGGAGAAAAGACACTTTCTCGTTTTTCAGAGAGCTTTCTTCAGCCAAAGTGGACGTTCGTTTCTACCACGCTAAGAACTTTGTTTCTCAAGATGTTGAATATTGTTTCCGTGTTTTGTTTTGTTTTTTTGTTTTTTTCCTGCTCTGAGTTATGAAGCAGGTCCAAGCATAATGGGCTTAAGAGACTTTAAAAAAACGACTGTTTTGTTTGTATCCAAATTTCTGAAGTCATTTCCAGAACATTCATCCAAGCATTTTGGCCTGATTGATTGTGGATTTTGTCCCCTTTTTTAATTGGTTTTATTTTTCAAACTCATTTCATTCCCTTCCTTTTAGCCAAATCTGAATCTGTTTCTCCATCCATTTGCATGCTTCATAGCCTTAAAACCAACCTGTGAACGGATTGAAATGCTCATGGGTGTGACTGTGACTGTTGCTCAGTTGTTAAAAGGACCTCATTCTCATACACTAAAAGTGCACTTTCCTGGTCTTGGGAACTGCAGAAATGTAGGGTATCTGCAGGGTCTCTAGATGGAGATAATGTCATCTCATTTCTTTCACTAAAACTCATTTAACCAGCATTCCCTGTATTAGCATCTTTGCAACCACCAGGCCTGATTTTGATGGAAGTGATGGGAAGGGGTTTATACAGCTGTGCATCAACATACTCCTGTTCCTTTTATACTTGTGATTTTTTTTTCCCTTTTTTTCTTGGTTTGTTTTCCGATGATTTAGTGGCATGACGAGCTGCAGTTGCGGTTACTGTCCCTGTGCTCTATGTTAGAGTGGATTTTTGGATTTTTAGCACGTTTCTAGTGCTACGCTGGAGATGGAACACAACGCTATGGAAATTCGCGCCACAGAAAACCAACGCTAAGGATGTAGTGCATTCATATGTAGCTACAGTCCTGACTGTACTGAAGACACTTAAAGCAGTATTAAGAGATGGTCCAGTCTTTGATACTGAATTTCATTTCCTTTGGGCCATTTTTTAAAAAAAATCATTTTCTCTTTGGCATGAATCAAACATCATAGATCTTTTTGTTATTGGAAACATCAGATTTCCTAATGATTGATCTTTTTTTATTTGATTTCACTGTGTATCAGTGTGGAAACCATGAAAACACATTGTACTTTTTCCAAAAATATTGTGTTACTATGCATTTATCAAAAATCAGCTACATTTAAATAGCAGAGCAAATTTCCAAGAAGAAGACTTTATGGATTTGGGAAAACGAAGGAAAATGAAACTTCTTTCGTTAAAAGTTAAGTGGAAATGCAGAATGATTTGTATTATGGAAATAAAGTTATTGTAAACATGATTTGACTTGCACTTTAGGCTTCGTTGACAGGCAGATTGAATCTCCACAACAAACTGATGATGCATTTGTAAGATATATACACTTCTGTAAATATGCTGCTTTGCTTGTTAAATAAAAAAAAGGAAAATTGTTTATTTTGGTTGTTTTAAACTTTTCAACTCCTTGAGACCACCGGTGGTTTCAAAACGCACTTTGTCATATTCTTCATAACTGTCATATTTCATGAGCTACATTCAAAATGTGGGGGTCGTATGAGAGCTGGAACTGTCTTCTTTCCAGTCAAATAGATGGGTGATGTAAGTTTAAACCCTTATAATAAAAGAAGCTGAACTCACAACTTTTTTTTGTACTGAAAGTCGACCCATTTTACCACAAATCTGGGCTATAAACTATAAACAGATGGCGTCTCTTCAGTGATCTGCTCTGTAAAAAATATTTTTATAAAAAACACAAAGAGCATCTAAGATTTTTGGCTTTCAGCAGTAAATTGTAAGCATATAGCAATATGTGTATGATGATAAAACACGTTCTGTTAATTTGAGGGGAGCTTTTACAAAAAATAACTAAAATAAACATTTACATTTATTTGGGCATAAGTAAATTCAGATGGAAAAACAAAATATACCCTGGAGAGTAAGAGGTTAACTTTATATGTTAGTGTAACACAAGCAGTTTGAGAATCATATTTTGTATGCAAGAATAAAAATAATGTTAAAGGAATGGTGCTAAAACAATAATTAACAATATACAGAGCAGTAAAATTGTCTCAATAAATGACTAAGATAAATATATAAAAATACAGGCCCTCTAGCAGCCTGGGGGCCCTAAGCAACTGCGTACACCATTTATATTAAGAAACGGGTGTGTATGTGGGTGGAGCTTGTAGAGATATTTAGTTATGTTTAATTACATATAAGTTTCTTGAAGGAGAGTCGTTAGGCTAAAACTGCCTCCGCAGGCCTACGCCACTGACGTGACTGATTAGGTTTGAAAATATCCATCCTACCCAGAGGTCACACCTTACGGTACATGCTGCATCAATTTTCTTCCATTACCAGGGTGTTGTGGCTATTATCCACTTAATTTATGGTCATTAGTGAGCACTTTGTATAGTTAATCATTTATATGAAATGGGTGGAAAAACAATAGGCCTACGCTTTGTGATCCCACTACCCTGATTTTCTAAGAAATTAGTTCATTTGGGCTAAAAAAGGCATTTCTGTTTGGAGGCCATGCACAACAAACATGCTAAAATATGAATAACTGCACAAGGTGTTTGTGAAATGCATAATAAATAAATGATGGAGAGGTACATGCAGGGTGTGGTGAGGCAAAATAGACTGCAAAGAAACCTTTTTTTTTGGTCTTTTGTTTGGATTTACCACTATTTTACTATCAAAATTACATATATAACTCAGAAGACAGGTGTAGGTTCACTGGTGGTTTTGGATGGTAAATAAAATGATTATATTTGTGTTGTAGTCATCGTGACCCCTGGTTCTTATCACCACAACTGCAAAGAAAATCCAGGTCTGCAAGTTTCTTTACAATTAACCGTTTCACATCAAACCACTCTGAATGACTATTTACGTTTCAACGACTGAATTATGTAGAATTCCCCTTTAATAAAGTGGGATTAGCCACCCCTGGTACTGGACGATGACTAAACAATACTGGGCTGCCACGAAAACAGGTTTAGAAATAATCAGTTTTTTTGAACAAATTAAAGCAAACACATTCACGCAATTATCTAATCAGCCAATCATGTGGCAGCAGTGCAAGAATTGGAGAAAAATGTGATCTTAATAATTTTGAGCATGGCATGATTGTTGGTGCCAGACAGGCTGGTTTGAGTATTTTTTGTAACTGCTAAACTCCTGGGATTTCAACATACAGCAGTCCCTAGAGTTACTCAGAATGGTGCAATAAAGATAAAATATCCAGTGAGCGGCAATTCTACAGACAGAAACACCTTTTTGATGAGAGAGGTCAGTGGAGAATGGCCAGACTAGTTTGAGCTGACAGACAATTGTGGTGAGCAGAAAAGCATCTCAGAATGCACAACATATAGCTTGAGGCGGATGGGCTACAACAGCAGAAGACCACGAGACCTCAAGTTGCACTTCTATCAGAAAAACAGAAAGCTGAGGCTGCAGTGGGCAACACTTCACTAAAACTGGACCGTTAAAGACTGGAAAAGCGCAGCCTGGTCTGATGAATCTCAATTTCAGCTGAGGCTCACAGATGGTAGGGTCAGAATTTGGCACCAACAGCATGAATCAACAGACCCAAACTGGCTTGTGTCAACAGTCCAGGCTGGTGGAGGTGGTGTAATGGTGTGGGGAATGTTTTCTTGGCATACTTTGGGCCTGTTAGTACCAATCTTTGTTTGAATGTCACAGCCTATTTGAGTATTGTTGCTGACCATGTGCATCCCCTCATGACCACAATTTACCATCTTCTAATGGCTACTTTCAGCATGTTAATGCACCTTCTCACCAAGCAGAAGTCGTCTCAAACTGGTTTTATGAACGTCAATGAGTTCAGTGCTCTTCAGTGGCTTTCCCAGTCACTGGATCTGAATCCAATAGAAAACCTATAGAAAGAGTACCTGAAAAATCGGCATGATGCAATCATGTCAAATATGAACCAGAATCTCAAAGAAAAGTTTCCGACATCTTGTGGAATCCATGCAGAATAACTGAAGAATTGAGGCTGTTTTGAGAGCAAAGAGAACCCCGTAGTACAGTGTTCCTAATGAAGTGCTCGGCGAGCGTATGTAAACTGTTTTTTTTTCTTTAAAAAAAGAAAAAAACAAGTTAATCATTCACTTCATTATCTAAAATTATATGAATATATATAAACAATAATTAGCTCTTGAACTGAAGCTGCTGTCTTAACTGGGAAAACACTGTACTGTCTAATTGCTCTCTGGACATTTCATGAAGGTCAACTATCCCAACATGTCAAGCAATGCCCCAAAACAGGTAAGTCATCATATAAACTTTTTGCTCCTCAAAATATCATTTCTAGATGAACAGTCATTAACATTTAGTTACAGTGGCGCAAAGGAAACCTGCTAAATGTTGTATGGGGACCCAAATCCTGGCAAAGTATAAACTGACTGCACCTTCACCTCAGAACACAATGTAATTACAGTGGCTGGACTGAGCACGCTTGTTAATCATTGCTAAAGCCAGTGCAGTCTAAACGACCTCACTGCCATTTAGCAGTCCAAATAAAACATTCTGTACATCAACATCAGCTTAGTCATAGCTGCAGTATCACGCTATTGTCCAGAACTCAACAAAAGTCAGACTAGAAACAAGATAGCCGCGTAAATGGGATCTGCCAGAAACAGCCAAAACATGGAGCAGACACAAAGAACATGTTGCAATCCGGCTCTGATGCAATCGAGAGGCCTGACCAGTTGCAGTGTAAACACAGTCCACGGTCAGGCCAGTCTCGTGCAGCGATCAAAACAAACGCACACACTCACACGGTGTGCACGCTGGCTTAAACCCTCCACATTGACTCCCTAATTCCCCCCATAAAAGGGCCCTATTGACCAAGTATGTGTGGCCTTTCCTGAGCTCCGGCCACATCACTGACCCTTATTGTGGGCAAATATGTGTATGCCGTCAGGGCGGGTGAGTGGCTCTCTCCCTCCGCTTCCTATTATGAAAAGGGGTAGGAATTTTGGCTGAGGTGGCGATTTGCCCCCTTGCCTCCCTTGCTTTAGGGAACTGGACGGTTCAGCCCGCCTCCCGTACAGGTCAGATTGTAAACAGAGTTTCTAACAGAAGGTAGCTAGCTGCAACCTTGCTGTTTTAGCCACACTAGCTAACTCATGAGAGAGTCCATAGTTGTTTATTGTTTTCCTGGTTCAAAATTTTTCTAATAGTTATTACAGTTCTGGTTCCAAAATCTGATTTGGCTAAGCCACGTTTAAAGCCATAGTGAATTGTACTATGTTCCAGGGGCTATGGGGAGATCTGGGGGGGCCTAGGAAGTCTCACTTGGAAGCCAGCCCCCCCTCCCCGACTTCTGAGTGCTCAAAAGAAATAAAGCTTTCCGATACCAATGAAAATATTCGAATAGTACAAAATAAACTCAAAGGTCCTGAATTACTGTATCCTTGTGCATTTATTTCCACCTTTAAATAAATGAAAAAATTACTGTCAAAGCGCTTATCGCCAATTTTCGTCAGACACTATCATCATGGCAAAGTTTACAAGACTTCATGCCGTAATTTGTTGTGCAACATGGCAGTTTTAAATCAATTCTGAAATTTGGCATGGAGCAATGCTTTTTTTCAACACCAATACGCAAACACATTATACTGCTCCACTACTTCTGCAGACTGTAAACTTAGCTGAGCTGTACTAGTTCCTAGTGAAGACTACTTCCTAGCTCTCTGTAGTAGGTATGTAGCTTACGTTGGCTAGCCTAAGTAGCACAGCTATAAAGTTGACTATAGTAAAGAAAAAAACAATCACCCCAGACCTCTACGCTTAGTGCTGTAAAAGGTAGAACTATGGTTAATTGACCTTTACCCTTTATAGTGTGCTGTCAGCTGTTATAGTGACTAGGCAGTTAAATACTAAGTCAGTAATCGTGTCATTTATGAGGTCAGGCACTGATCTTGGACAAGAAGGCCTGGCTCACAATCATTCTATCCCAAAGGTGTTCAGTGTTGCTGAGGTCAGGACTTTGTGCAGGCCACTGGAGCACCTACTCGCCAAAATCATTGAACCATCTCTTTATGGATCTTGCTTTGTACACAGGGGTCTTCCCCAAACTGTTGCCTCAAAGTTGAAAGCATATAATTTTCTAAAATGTCTCTATATGCTGTAGCATTAACATCACGCTTCACTGGAACTGAGGGGCCCAAACCCTGAAAAACAGCCCCAGACCATTATCCCTCCTCTACCAAACTTTGCTGCTGGCACTATGCATTCAGGTAGGTAGTGTTCTCCTGGCATCGACCGTACCCAGATTCATCCATCAGACTGCCAGAAGGTTAAGCATCATTCATCACTTTAGAGAACACATTTCCACTGCTACAGAGTCCAGTGGTGGTGCGCTTTACACCACTGCCGCTCGGCACTCTGCGTAGTGATCTTATGCCT